GGCAAATAATTATCCCTTCTCATCCATTCTATTTCTTCTTTTTCGACCTCCTCCTCTTTCTCCTTCTTTTCTTTCTCTTCTTTCTCCTCCCCGACCTCTCTTCTTTCCCCTACCCACTCTAGATAGTCTTCTTCATATCCTCTCTCCTCCTCCTCCCTCCTCCTGCTCCCCCTTCCCCCCCCTCCTCCTCCTCCTCCCCTCCTCCACCTCCTCCTCCTCCTATCCTCCTCCTCCTTTTCCCTCCACGCATTTTTTTTTTTCTTTTTTTTTTTGTCATTTTCTTTTTCGTTTCCGAAGTGCCCACTTGAACGAAAGAAAGCAAACAACAACAACGGAAAAAACAATCAAGTACAACAATCGAAGGTTTCCAAGCAGACCCTCCTCGCCGGAAACTCCCTTTGTGCGATCTTGACTCTTCGCGTCTCAAGGTCGGGCGAGTTGCACGTTGCATTAATCACGAAATTCCGGTGGAGTTCGGGGGTCTTCTGGGGAACTAGGGGGGGGGGGGAGGCGTTAGGGTGGGAGACGAAGAGAGGACTGGGGGAGGGTTAGGGAGGGGAGGGAGGAGTTGGGGAGGGGGGGAGAGAGGGAGGGGAGAATGGTGTAAGAGAGGGAGAGGAGGATATTGGGGGTAGAGATAGAGGAAGTGGGGGTTAGGGAGGGGGAGGAGGTGGGAAGGAGGGGGAGGGGAGGAGTTGAGTGTTTTATGGGGGACGAAGGACACATGAGACCGGTGACGGAGGGAGAATAAGAAGGAGAAGGGGGTTAAGGGATGGAGTGGCGGAAGGAGGGAGGGAGGAGTGGGAGGGGGCGATCGTGAAGCGTAGCTCTCGTTGAATAAACTCCGGCGACCTCGTCTGGGTGTTTGAGCTCGCTGGCCTCTCGGGAAGTGCCCTTGAGCTGCGCGGGGCTGCTCGTGCTTTCCCGTTGCTTGCTCGATCCTTGCGCGGGGTCCTCTGCGGCAGCTTGTAGGCCGTGGTTCTGCTTTTATCGCTTTCCCTCTTTACCTCTTCCTTCCTGCTTGCTCTTTACTTCGTACCTCTCCTTCTCTCTCTCTCT